TCCATCTCCTCTCGGCTTGTCGAGACTTTTGTCTAAGTGTCCGTGTAGAATCGTTTACCCATCGCTGATATTTGCATTTACGTTTTTTAACTTTAAGAGGAGCAACACTATCCAAGATTTCAGCACAAACAACATTAAAGTGATTAACCTGTTCATCAACACTTAAATTCTTCAGAGACTCTTCAAATAGAGTAGTTTCACAGTGATTTCTATATAATGAGGTAAACTCTCCACTAGTCAAGGAATTTATTTTTCTAGACCATATTTTTTCTGGTACAAGCCCTGTGGACTTCTCATCAAAGCGGACATTAAAAAACATTGGCTTATGGTCAGAAAGCACCACCTCATCAATCACAACATTCTGAATGTGCAAGTTGAAAGATAAAACCAAATCTAGTGTGTCCCAAATTATGAGTTGATCCTTTGACCCATTGTGTCAAATCAAAAGAGTTAATCACATTTAACAGTTCTCTGGACATCACATCCTGCCCACAACACAAGTGTATATTAAAATTGCATAGAATTTAAAAAACGAGGGTATTGTGTAGCCAGTTTACTAATAAAGTCAGAAAATTCCTTGGTTGGCTTTGGAGGGCAATACACAAGTGCAACCAGTGCAGGCTTAGTCACTGTTATATAAAAAGTCATCAGCTCAAAACTATTATAGAGTTCAGGCGATATTTTCTGACAACTGATGTCCTTTTTAAAAATAGACAACAGACCTCCACCTCACCCAGTTAACCTAGGCAAGTTAAAATATGAGTAACCCTGTGGTAGCAATTCCGGTATCGGAGACAGGTCTCCTACCTTTAGCCAGACAGAAAGAGACAATCCAGCTTGTTGTTCATGATAAAATCATTCAGAATAAAAGATTTGTTTCCAACGGATCGTACGTTAAGCATCACCATCCGCATCGTGCTATCCTCTCTCATCGGGAGCCGCTCACAGCGAAGAGGGCGAAGATTCCGCGAATCGATGCCTCTCGTGCACACGTGGGGCCAGCCCGTCTGCCTAACAGAGGCCGGACTGTCAGGCAGAACCGGGTAAATCCAGCCATGCTTGCCCTTCGTGAATCGTCGGTTGATTATTCGACTGTTCCCGGTGACATCATGCGAGCAACACGAGCGGAGTACGGCTCGTCGTAGTTCACTACCGCCCAAGGCCAGCTTTAATTTAACGATCAGGCCACCTCACTTTCCTCGTTTCCTCCCTTGTCGTCTCCGAGCTCCGGGAGAAGAACTGCACAGGTGCACAGGTATATTCCCCAAGAGGTATGGTGGGAGAAAACCAGGTCTTTTAAAATCATTTTTAAAAGCGTCCACCGTTGCTCTTATTGATAAAAGCTGAGACCGATCGTAGATAAACAATGAAGATACTTGTTGAGTGAGGCAAGATATCAAAAGGACGAACAGAACACAGACGCACAGAGCCGGTAGACGGCACACCATGTACACTGGCGCCATCTTGATTTATATCAATATATATTTATATTTATATCTTGATTCACTATGAGAACTTGAATCATCTCCTGATGTTTTTCCTGATGATGCTGTTCAAATTATCCTAAAGAATAGCTACAATGCATATGCACGCAGACTCTTTTATCCCCCTCTCAACATTCAACATCTCAAGAGATTAATTGAGCAAAAGAATGATGACTACAAATGAGCTTAATAATATTCTTCTCTAAGAGCAAGAGAAAAATTGAGACGAGAACCCAAACTCTGTGAATGTCACTGCAATGCTATCTGTTTGACATGAGGTCTGTTTGACTTCATATGGCACTGCGCAGGACGATCGGGGTTTGTAACCATAATTTGGTTTCGACTTGGCTGCTGATTCGAGAGCAGTCGGCTGGATCAGCCAGCATAATTTTTCCAGAGTGGCTCCACGAGCACTGATGATAACACCATTTCACGATTGGTCAGACTCACCGATGGTGTGCATTTTATGTATATTCTGACACCTTCAGTTCCACAAATGCTCACAAATCAGTGTTTTTATAATAGTAAACTCTCTTTTGATGTAATCTTAATGTCATACTCTTACAAATGTTATGTTGATCAAAATAAAACTGATAAAGATAGTGTTTATATAATATGGGGGGTCGTCACATGTGGTTGCCGCAAGCCCTCCGGACGCTCCTTCTCAAGCCCGCCGCCTCTAATCACTCTAGCCCTCCGGCCGTTCCTCACTCTAGCCCCCGGCCTCTGCTCACTCTAGGCCGCCGTGTGTTACGCTGTGTTTCGTTGTGAAAGCGAAACTACTTTGTTTGGTCTTCCAAAAATGGACACGACTAGAAATCAGTGGTTAAGTTGTATTTACAACACTGTTCCAGAACACTTCAACCCAAATATTCAGATTTTATGGAGGACTGTTTCCTGATCCTGGTAGAGTAGACTACAATGCCGGCTGTTCCGACTCACAGACTGTAAGACTGTAAGAATTTGCCACTGATGATTCAAACGCGAGTTTTGGGCAGTGTAGAGTAGGGCTTGTTGCTTGTCATTTCTCCGATCACAAATGCAGACATGGTTTTGTGTTTACGCGGCGCGATGCAACGCAACGCATAAAAAGACAGTATAAGTCATTATAATTCATAATTATGTCCCCACTGGATGCAACAAATGCCTCGTTTATAATGGGTTTTCATGTTTTTGAATCATCGCTCCTGCCTGACAGGGCATCATCACAGTATGGTAGGGGGGTAACATTTCCGTCACACGCTTGAGGTATTTGGCCAGTCATAACGCATTAGATAGCTGGCCAATCATAGCACACCTCGCTTTTCAGACCGATGCGAGTTTTGGGCAGTGTAGAGTAGGGCTTGTTGCTTGTCATTTCTCCGATCACAAATGCAGACATGGTTTTGTGTTTACGCGGCGCGATGCAACGCAACGCATAAAAAGACAGTATAAGTCATTATAATCCATAATTATGTCCCCACTGGATGTAACGAATGTCTCATTTATAATGGGTTTTCATGTTTTTGAATCATCGCTCCTGCCTGACAGGGCATCATCACAGTATGGTAGGGGGGTAACATTTCTGTCACACGCTTGAGGTATTTGGCCAGTCATAACGCATTAGATAGCTGGCCAATCACAGCACACCTCGCTTTTCAGACCGATGAGCTTTGTAAAAATATGCGTTTCAGAAAGGCAGTGCACAGAGGAGAAACAATAATGTACAGTATGTGGTAAATAATGTGTTTTTTTAACCTTAAACCGCATAAACACATTTCACTACACCAAATACACAAAATAATGTTCTTTTTAGCAACATCATATGACCCCTTTATAAACATACTTCTCTCTATTAAGAAGCACTTAACCTATTCAATGAACAGTGTTTCTGGGTGCTACACATAAAATTCAAAAATATGAAATCTAATCCACTCTGTCTGTGGCAAAGTATGCAAACACTGTGCGTCCATCACTATGAGAAGTTTCAAGTGTCTGATTTGACGGCTCTTTTTTCAACTCCTCCCCCAAAAATCTTGCTGATCGGTAAGGGCAGGAGCACCCAAAGTACACCTCCTCTCTGTCTCTTCCCCTGACTGGAGCATCTTCTGTGCGCTCTCACCTGAAAGAATATTTGATCAAGGAGCTCCCCACCTCACACTATGAAGGCTGGGACATTAAGAAAGAGAGACATGTGGCGCACAGGGCTTTGGATCCTGAACTTTGCTTGAAGTAGTGTTGCTCTGAGATGGGTTTCTTCACCAGAAACACACCACAAGGAAATATGTAATGGCTTCCTACAGCTTTTCATATAAGAGTTGACTCTTTGGTGTATCAATGAAGCGCAATGTAGAGGTCAAAGGTCAAGAGGTCAGATTACGGTCAACTGAAAAACAATAAACCTGTTTCACTTCGAACACATTGCCTCAAATTGAGTGAGACAGAAAAAGAGGGAGGGAAAGGTAAAGGAGTTCACGAACACTTAAGTCAAAGCCACAACACACTGTTTCCATTGTGATATGTCTATGTGTGATTGTGTGTGTGTGTGTGTGTGTGTGTGAGAGAGAGAGAGAGAGAGAGAGAGAGAGAGAGAGAGAGAGAGAGAGAGAGAGAGAGAGAGAGAGAGAGAGAGAGAGAGAGAGAGAGAAAGAGACAGGAAGAAAGAGCGTTAACCTTGCTAAGGAATCTGAGTGTGTCCCATAATTAAAAGCAGTTCACATGCTCCTAAATCTGGGCTAGGGCTGGACGATATGACCAAAATTTATATCACAATATATTTCTTAATTTCGGCCGATATCGATATGAGGCGCTGTGAGTGGTGGAACTAGCGGTTTCTCCAGTAACGGCTGTAGTCAAAGCAGCTCCGCTCATGAACGCTACTTTATCAGATAAAAATGCCATCTAAACTATTCTGAAGACAGTCGGTTCCCCATGACGCGTTTTGATTTTGAAACGTGCAGTGCTCATGTTTATTCAACGAAGTCAAACTCCACAAATAAATCAATGTATGGGAAACTGGTAATGCATATCTAAATTTCGGAAAAGAGAGAAAAAATCATATCACCGTTATTGAAAAAAATTATATCGCGATACATATTGATATTGAATTATTGTCCAGCCCTAATCTGGGCTCTGACATGTATTTTCAACACACACACACACACACACACACACCTTTGCTGTAATGTTTGCATGCCTCCTCTAGCCTTGTATCTGAGATTCAGACTCTAGGCAGAGAAATTTGCTAAGGTAAGTTTTAACTCACGTGTTTTCTCAGCCGCTGCCGCGCACACAGAGAGACGCCGCGTGATTCCTCTTTCACATACACACAAAGTTATGTTAAAATACCCGCTTTGGCAAGTATTCTAGTAAACACAGTCAGTTATGTCTTAAGTGAACGTAAGCAGGTGAGAAAGAAACCAGATGTGTGTCAGTATTAGGTCCGTGCATTTGGTCTTAAAGACAGCAGCCAATAAATACCGGTTTCTGTCTGCTAATCAAATAACACCACAGCTCTAACAAAGATGAATCTGTATTTAACTTGTGCAGTGAGCACTATTGTGTTAAATAATTATTAAATTTCTGCACCTAAATTCTGATATTTGTAACTGATTTGTTGTTTTCATCTATGCTTGTAATTTGTGTAATTGTTCTTGTTTTATTACTAACTTTATTAGTTAAGCTAGTAGTTTTTGCTGTGGTATAGAAGTACTTAAAGTGTTTATTATAATTTTTTTGGCTGATCCGAAAAATGATCCGATCCGTGAATTTTGTGATCCGTTGCACCACTAAGAAACACACAACTACAGATTCATCCATCACTGAGCTACTCCTGCTGAAGTGATCAGCATCCACATTTATTTTCAGCTAAATCCATTTTGCTAAGATACAACCTCTTCATCTTTAGATGGAAAAAGGCGAGTTGGGACTCACATTACAGCGCATGAAGAGGAAAGATTTGATGATGTCACTCAAATCTCTAAGTATTATGAGAGCTTGATGCATGTGACTGGAATCAGGGCAAATGTATCTCTCTAACCATCATGTCCCAGAGGAAAAGATGGCAGTGGTTTGTTCCCCCAGCTTAAATGATCATCCAGTGTTTAAACATGTGTAAGCCATTCCTTGGTATGTAACCCAGACGGCAGCTGTAATTACTGACGTTCCTCAGCCTGATTTACAACACACTCATCCACTCTCAAAAAGACACCCTAACATGTCAAGTCAAGTCAAGTCACCTTTATTTATATAGCGCTTTTAACAATACAGATTGTGTCAAAGCAACTGTACAGCATTAATTAGTAAAATAGTGTGTCAATAATGCAAAATTACAATAGTAAACACTAATTTTTCAGTTAAAGACAGTTCATCATTGAATTCAGTGATGTCAACATCCAGCTCAGTTTAAATAATATCTTTGCAATTATGTCAACGATATCGCTGGAAATGAAGTGTCCCCAACTAAGCAAGCCAGAGGCGCCCTGCACTCGCACACATGCTCAACACTGCAAAATAGCTCACGGCAGCTTTAACGGAGTCACTGAGTTTTTGCTAGCTGTCATTGCTAGTAATTAGCACATTTACCGAAAGGGTAGAAATGTGACATTGGGCCAATTATTCGATATGAGTCCAGAAATCCCTTATTAGCTCTAGAGAGACACAGCAATCTGAATCCAGACCGGCCTGGTGTTTACTCAGCCAGATCACCAGCTCCAACCGGTTCTCAAATCACATTTGTGATCTAGTTTTATTATTGATTGTGGACTATAATGTTCTCCTCTAATCACCACTGAGATTTATGAGCAGAAGTCTTTCTTTAAACAAAAGCAGATCTTAATGAGGGTACTTGATGGTCTGTGCTGTAAATACAACACCATTAGAGGAAACTTCAATATACTTAAATGTAGGAAGTAGGGCTGGGCAAAAAAATCGAATGCAATTTTCATGCACATTTCATCAGTAAAGCCGCTTCTGGTGATTAGTAGTAAATCTCCAGCACGTGCTTTCAGATGGAGCGGCATTTACTACACCGAGCTGTAGATCACTGACAAGCTACACAATATCACGTTCAAAATCAGGTGATTCATTGCCGACTCTGTGTAGTAAATGCCGCTCCATCTGAAAGCACGTGCTGGAGATTTACTACTAATCACCAGAAGCGGCTTTACTGATGAAATGCGCATGAAAATCGCATTCGATTTTTTGCACAGTCCTAGTAGGAAGGTTTTAAAGGTCAAAGCTCAGCTCACAAGGCACCAATCAGACTTGGGCATCTACGGGATCTCAGCTTGATAATGAAGGCCGCAATGCCCCCGCTGCTCTAGCGTATCTTTTCTTGTTTACGTCTCCTCATCAATATAACCTTTATTATGCTCCTTCTGATTTACCATTTGCAGACACCACATTAAAGATGGTTCGCTCAGACTGCACAGGAAACAAGGGGCTAATCTCTCACTCGAGCTCTGCTTTCTCCCGTTGTTATTTGCTTTGAATATCAGTGTTCAGATGAAAATCTGCCTCAGAATGAAAGTTACTCATGGGCCTGGCTATAATTCCATTACAGAGGAAAATACAAATCCCTCATTTATGTATGACAGAAAAACTAAATGCATCAATTAATTACGTCTCCTATTCAAAATGAAACCAACAACAACAGAAACCTAATCTACACACACACACAGAGAGAGAGAGAGAGAGAGAGAGAGAGAGAGAGAGAGAGAGAGAGAGAGAGCACAAGCTGCTGGTTTAATCAAACTTTCGAGCACGTTAAGCTGATTTGAGGCATTGATGAGCTGTAAAATATGGGCACTGCAAGATATAATGTTGTATAAGAACAGATTGATGAGGTTTTCTGGCTGTCACAATTTGAACAAGCCATCTTTGTGTGTGTCTATACCTTGTTGAAGCCATCCCTTAAAGGGTCGGTTCACCAAAAAAAAAAACTTTTTTTTTTTATCATTGACTCACTCTAATGTCATTCCAAACATCTATGACTTTTTTCTGTAATATAACGTTAAACACCACTTACTGTAATTGCATGAACTAAGACACTGCTCTAAATATTGTTTTTATGTTGAACAGAAGAACAAGACGATGGGGTGAAAATGATCACAGGATTTTCATTTTTTGAGTGAACTATCCCTTTAAGAGGAGCGGTTCACACAAGAATGCATTTTTGCTTTCAAAAATGCGACATGCCACACAATAGTATCCAACTGTAGAGCTGCAGTGCTGATGAATGAATTTCAAAGATGGTCAAAGTTGTCTGTTTAGCAGCTGTTTACATAAAAAAACAAAAAGCAATGAAGTGGAACACAAAACCGGATTCTGTGTGAACCCGTCCTTAGTCTTCAAGCAAATAGCAGTTAGAGAATACGATGACAGGCATCACACAGAAGAATGCCAGACAAGACAAAACACGAACAAACCAGACTAGGAGTGACTATACTGGACCAGCACAGACTAGATGAGACCAGAAAAGGGTAAATTACCACTCTGATTGTACTTTGCAAAACTTTTTAACCAGTTTATGTGTACTTGTGCGTGTGCATCTCTTCTACCCTCTAAAGTCGTGTCAACAGAGACAGCTGGGCCTAATAAGGAACAAAACAAGCCGGTAAAAATAATCAGCAGCAGCAGAAATGGTGTGGTCGTGCTGTGCTAGAGTTCATGCAATGACACTTACAGTCCACATTAAGAAAAGCCACTGACCGTCAGTAACTATCCCCACTGGGAATAAAAGAATAGAGACGCTCTTTGAACACTTTGAACACTAACATCTATAGCAGCTCTGAGAAGATGCAACTGAAAGGGTACAGAGAGGGGAAGAATACAGATGCATAGTCTGTAAAGCTTTGTCTCACCTGGTGGTAGGTTTGAAATCTGCTGCTGTTGTATTTGAGCGATGAACACCCCCCACCCTTCAAAACAACAAAAGAGTAAAAAAAAAAGTCAATCAATTAATGGGAATATAAGACAAAAATGATAAAGACATTACCATAAACAATAATCATTTTGACATAACAGTGATATAGTACAAACAAGATTTGCATTTCCCAAAGGAAATACCGATGCTTATATGGCAAAAAATAGTTTTTTAGGCTTTGGTTCGGTGTAAATAAAATGCTGTAATAGAGCTGCTCTGTCATTGTTATGACATTGAACAGCTTGTTTTCTGTTGGCTGCACACAGCTCATACATAATCACTGTGTATTGTAAAATTAGATATACACTGTTAAATATATTGTGACGAGCGTCCCGAGCTCACATCAGCGTTGCCCTGGAAACGGACGAGGAACACCTGCACACGCTCATCACGGGCTGATTGGTCACAGCTGAGAGTCATCAGCCCACGGCCAGATAAGCCGCGGGAAGCCCGAGGAGAGGGAGAAGAGATGATCTCCCAGAAGCGGAAAGCTAACGTGTTGTCTCCTTTGCCTTACAGAAACCAGCCCGTGACCAAGCAGCCCAGGCACGAGCGCCGCACGGACTCACTGACACTGGATCACGCTCCCGGAGAAGCACCGACTCACGCACGGAGAAGCCTCGACTCACCTCAGGACACAGCGCACTCACTTAAGCACATTCCCTGGGAATAAATCCACCCTCCGGGGTATCTATTTGAGCTCTCCTTGTCGCGTGTTCCTTCCACCCCGTTACAATATGCATGAGAAAAGGGCATGTAAATAGAATGTAAAAGGGGGGGAAACAAATCAATTTAGTATTACCTTGTGGGGACATCACTGTGTTGTTGTTGCATTTTGAGTACTGAGTATTCTAAAGTTAATGAATATTTTAAAGTATGAGATGTGTAAATCTTCCTTCAACTAAAAAAAAAAAGTATAAAATGTACAAATGTGAAAAATAGATGTCACGTGCAGTTATAAAGAGTCTGTTAAGCACTTTGTGCTGAGAAAATGATTGAACAAACCCTAACCAGAATGTTATACAGGATATGGCATGGAAAATAAATCACACACACTCACACACACACATACACACACACACACACATAAAAGAAAATAAAAACAACATGGCATTAAAATGAAAAGGACTGTGGATTGAGTTGGTGTGGCATTTTAAAGTCTCAGAAAGCATTAAGCATGTGTTGTAATGCAGACACATTTCACCATTACAAACAGGGGTAGGTTCTATTATCTCTGGTCTGACCAGCTATTCCACCCCTCAGGCAGTGCTGTGGTCTGGACCCCACTGGAGCATATCAATTCATGGCCAACACAAATGTTATATAATGTACCACAGACAGACATTGGAGTTTCCTTTACTGAGATATCACTGACCCTAGAGAAACTTAATAGGACCCAAAGAGCCCATCATTTAGGAACACAAAGCAGTGTGTGAGTCCAGGACAGCCCTCTGTGCTTTACGGAGCTGATTTCACACAAGAGGGAGATTTGTGATTGTGGTTTCTGACCAGAAAGCAGTCAGCCAGTGATATCCCAGCAGCTTTTTGAATTTTTATCTCTTGGCCTGTTTCCAGTGGTTGGTTTATTTCTCTGTATGCCATTATGAGGTCGGGGATACTAAAGGGCATCTAAGGAAAACTTTCCATATCTTCTCCTGGTCACATATGCAGATACACACATCATCACAAGAAGCAGGAGCCTAACGTCTTTCCTGCCTATACTTCCTACTACTATCTCAAAAACAATCACTTCTGAAGACTTCTGCCTTACAAACAAAATCTTCAGCATGGATATAAATATATAATTTATATTTTTATATATTTTCTAAACAACAAAAAAATAAACAGAGGAACAGAGACTTATTCAAGCAAACATAATACATTAAATATTCCAGCATTTTCTTCAATGTACTGTAAGCATTATGGCACATATGTGAAAACAGTTTAATCTTTCATGCAGCCCTCATGAAATGCTCATTGGAAACTATTAAATGCATCCTTAAAAAACCTTTACGAAAACCCTTTGAACACTCTCTCTCTCTCTCTCTCGCTCTCTCTCTCTCTCTCTCTCTCTCACACACACACACACACACATGTTTGTTTTTGTGAAAAGTGGGGACATCCCATAGGCGTAATGGTTTTTATACTGTACAGACCGTATATTCTATTGCCCTACACCAACCCTACCCCTAAACCTACCCCTCACAGGAAACTTTATGCTATTTTAGATTTTCAATACACTCCACTCTGTGTGATTTATAAGCGTTTTGAAAAGTGGGGACATGGGGTAATGTCCTGAAAAGTCACCTTCTCCTTGTAATAACTATGTCATACCTTTGTCATTATACGAATGTATGTCCTCATGTGTCACAAAAAAGCACGCGCGCACACACACACACACACACACACACAGAGTGCAAGGAAAATGCAAAATGCATTTCTGCACAGTAAATGAGATGTCATACTTTTCACAAAAAATGCCTGGTGGCCACAACTGAAGTTGCAAATAAACCAACACAGACTCAAGCACACAGATGAGCACATTTACACATCTTTTACACATACAGAGGAGAGTGAATGCAATACTCTACAATTAAAAGGGAACCTCAACTCATTTGATTTTCTATTTTTATTCAGAATGCAAAATAAAATATGCGATTATACATTATTATTACATTATAATAATGATTATTTATTATAAATTAAAAATCTAGCATTTGAGCTAAAAACAAAAGACTCAAAACAGTAAAATTAATGCAGTAAGAAGGTACTTAGTACTGACTCTGACTGGATGAGCTACAATCGAAACTGTTATAAAACAGATATACACACATTAGTTGTGTTGTTGTACGGCAAGTAGAAACAACTAATGAAGTTATTCTGAGATACTTCATATTATTGATAATAAAATACATATACTATCAATAAAACCCTCACAAAAAGAGATATGTAAAAGGAGTTAGTTCTTTTTTGCTATAACAAAGATTAGTTAGAAAGAGTTCTCTCACAGAACTACTCAAGATTCACACATCAGCATCTCGCATAACAGCACAGAACTCAATATTCTGCTTAGGGCCATACAAATGTAGATCAGAAAGAGCATGCAAGAACATTCAGCCTGACAAAGAAAAAAACAATTTGTGTGTGGCAGCAGGCTTGATCCACGTGGCTGGAGTTTCAAGATGTGTTCTAGAGGATCATAAACGTTCTCTCTGTAGCTCTTACCTGCTGAGAGCTGGTTTGGCTGATCTGAGCGAGTCACTGTGTGCAAGTGCTTCTGCCACAGAACTGTCACTGGAAACACGCTTCCTTTGGAGCTCTGCAACCCTGAAAAAACAATGAGAGAGACACACAGAGACATTATCAAGAGGAATATTTGGTACTGAAACAGCAGGCCAGTCACTATATATGCAGTCAAAAAAAATAAAATTATGTGATGTTCCACAGTCCAGCAGCTAACAAATATTAATGATGTGTGAGCTTGTTCTGTAATGGTGGAAGTCTCTGTGATATAAAAAAGCGAAAGACCCACAATTACAGTCTGGTTAATAAAAAACACCTATAACAGATGAGAAATACCCTGTAACATACAGAAACATTTTTAGATATATTAAAATATCGGCATCGGCTGATTAGTTTTTCTGTTTGGCCGACGTGTTAAGGCAGGACTTTTATTTTGACGGCGCTGAGAATGGCAGGGCCTGCGCACACAGCGCTCACATTCTCCCTCTTCATTGTTTGCTGTCGCCGTTTAAAGGGGTCATATGATGTTGCTAAAAAGAACATTATTTTGTGTATTTGGTGTAATGAAATGTGTTTATGCGGTTTAAGGTTAAAAAAACACATTATTTTCCACATACTGTACATTATTGTTTCTCATCTATGTCCCGCCTTTCTGAAATGCGTCAAATTTTACAAAGCTCATCGGTCTGAAAAGCGAGGTGTGCTCTGATTGGCCAGCTATCCGGTGCGTTGTGATTGGCCGAATACCTAAAGCGTGTGACGGAAATGTTACGCCCCTTGCCATATTGTGATGCCTTGTCCCAGCCGGAGCAATGAGACAAAAACATTAAAACACATTAATAATTACGGATTATAATGATTTATACTGCCTTTTTATGCATTGCATTGCATCGCGCCGCGTAAACATAAAACCATGTCTGCATTTGTGATCGAAGAAATTACAAACTACAAACGCTACTCTACACTGCTCAAAACTCGCGTTTGAATCGTCAGTGGCAAATTTTTTAAATATAAAAAAAACTTACATTCTGTGAGTCAGAACAGCCGGCATTGTATTCTACTCTACCAGGATCAGGAAACAGTCCTCCATAAAATGTTATGCACACATCTGAATATTTTGGTTGAACTGTTCTGGAACAGTGTTGTAAATACAACTTAACCACTGATTTCTAGTCATGTCCTCTTTTGGAAGGCCAAACAAAGTAGTTTCGCTTCCACAACGAAAGCGAGGCCGGCTTGAGTGAGCGGCGGTGGGCGGGCTTGTGGCAACCACATGTGACGACCCCGGGCTGGACTCCGGATATCGTCCTCTTTTGGAAGGCCAAGCAAAGTAGTTTCGCTTTCATAACGAAACCCACAGAGCCTTCACGACATGGCGGCAGCAACAATACTACAGCTAGAATAAAAGTTACGCCTTCTTTCTTTGCGTGACAAATCTTGGCGGCAGCAACAATACTACAGCTAGAATAAAGGTTACGCCTTCTTTCTTTGCGTGACAAATCTTCCCACATAGTGACGTAGATATGTGAGGGTGTGTTAGAACGAGCCATTTTAGGTAGGCGCGGTTTACTCTTAACTTTTATAAAGAATATCTCTTTGGATTTGAGACTTTAGTCTTTGCAACTTTACAGATCTTATTTATGCACCAAGAGCTTGTAACACTCCAAAGAGAAAGGGAAAATTGCAATCGCATCATATGACCCCTTTAACAGTTCTAATAATCAGATAGAACTGTTAAAGTAAAGGAATTGAAAAGTATACAAAAAGTACTATAGCGATTGTTTTTATAGTATTAGTAATAGAAAGGCAAACATTATAATACATACTCGTTTACTGACAGCATTCAGCAACAGCTGTGAGACCTTGTGAAGTGTGCATTTCTATACTGCATATGATATGATCACGAGTAAGTGACGGTCGGTCGGACAGGAGGAGAGTTCAGCTTCACTGGAGACGCGCGATCGACAAACTTTAAACTCTTTATATCGGCCATCGGTCACTCTGCTCTTTAAGATATCGGCATCGGCTGTCAAAATACCAATATCGGTTGACCACTAGTTTATTATGTGAGAGAAGGGAAAGGAACAGATGAAGGTGGAGACAGAGAGATAGAGAAAGATAAGAGACACTATCCTTTGATCTTCACTAGTGCATGTATCACCCTATAGCAGTATGATCTCATTTAGTGGAAAAGCATAACCAGCGCAAAAACTTTACGAAGACAGGAGAGAGTAAAACAGGGAGAGCGAGCCAACATTTCTAGAGACAAAAAAAGCAATGCTTCCTGTCACTTTGTTCACCCACAGCTCACCCTGGCAAACTCAGCACTTAACACCATAAAGAGAACACCACAAAGGCTAATTACATCTTTTTGTTAATTTAATATTCCTTTCATGAGCGATTCTGTGTGATTCTGAATTGAACAAAAGCATGTTCAATGTTGCCTCGGCGAGAGATCGTTATTTCATGCCCAAGGGAGTTAAAGGATGTAATAATGCCTGCCAAACGCATCAGCAGCCGTAAGCCTGTGTGACTGATTGAGTCTGTGCGACTAACAACAAATCAGGAGCAAAAAAAGTTGCCAAAAAATTCCATCCAAAACAAAAAGTGACACTGATACATAAATGAAAAAGATGAAATGTAAAATAGCTAAATTGAAGACAGACAAAAAAGGAAGGGAAAAGGATGAGCCGAGGAAACAGGAGGGATGTCAATTACAAGAAGGCGAGCCAAAGTTCTCTGAAACTCTGAAAGACTCTTGCTGTTTCGCAAACATGTAATTAGGACTGCAGAAACTATATTTAAGTATTGACAGGGAAGAAAATATCCAAGCCTATTGCAACAAAAATGGACATAATGATATCTGAAATCTTTTATGTTGCTGTTTTTACACATTTTACAAGAAAAAGAACCCAGACATGTATATAAAAAATCATTACAGAACCAGAAACCAAACAGAATGCTGACATTTTGTAGCTTTGTATGCTTGTGGTGTTTCTAACACAACAGAGTTCAATAAACACCACACAATTATCGAAGTAAACAAGACTAATTAAAGAAAACTTCAGCTTTGATGTGGAAAACACAAGTGGCTTAGAGTGAACCCAAGAAAAAGGGTGAGAGAAAAGGTAGCATTTGAATCATTAAAGGTAGTATTTGAATCAATCATATAATTTGACAAATGACACATTTACAGTGAAACTATAGAGTGTGACGTGAGAGAAAGACATTCTGAAGTTCAAATACAGAAAGATAAAGGTTATTTCAGCACATCTCAAGTACCCACAGCCCCTAAAGACAAAAGGCTGACTGTTATCTCACTATCACAGCACACATGACAGCAGCAGCATCAGGACTGAAAGTGCTCTGAGGGTTCGCTCAATGTTTTCCATTGGGAGGCATAAACAAAAGCTCCTATCCGGTGGGTTATACAATCATGACATAATCAGAAGAGCTATGTCCAGTGCAGCGACTGTGTTTCAACCAGACACATTACACCGCTTCAAAAAGCTGGGAGGACAATGATAATGACACAAACATCACACAGCTAACTATTCAATCATTCTGATCAATCAGTTCCCTGTTAGCCTCTTCCTGACCAATATGAGCTAAATATATGAATGCTTGTTTTGATATATTTTAAAATTTCATTTATTCCTATTCTGTCAAAGATGAATTTTCAGCATCAGTACTCCAGTCTTCAGTGTCACGTGATCCTTCAGAAAACATTCTAATATGCTGATTTGCTGCTCCAGTAACATTTCTTATTATTATCAGTGCAGAAAAGAGTTTAATATTTTTGTGGAAACTGATTTTTATTTTTGAATTTGAAAGAATTAACTAAATTCATTTAAAAGTATTTATTTCTTTCAAAAAATAATAATCTTACTGACCCCACAGTTTTGAACAGTAGCAAATGTGGTGTTTTGGATGCTGGACCCCAGCATGCCGGTGTGCTCACAAGGCTTCTTCACTAGCTTAACCAGTAAGATTTCCATGGTCAATCAGCTTCACCAGAATGACCATGCTGGCTGACAACCTTTACCGGCACAAAATCAGCACTAACTGGCATTAACCAGCCTGGACCAGCAATAGAAATTCATGCTGCTCTTTTCACCAGAGCATTCATCTAAGGTTAAATAATATAATAATAGAAAATAAACAAATGCACACTCCTGACACAACTTTTACATTTACCGAATAGAAAGGATGTGTGATGATGACGCTTAAGCTAAATATTTTGACAATTTCAACCGATTTCATCCAAAAATTAATAATTAAATCTTAAACATTCACAAAGACAGAAATACAGAAAAAAGCTAAATTACTGTCTGTATTCCAGTGTTAATTTTGACAGCAAATTTTGATTTTGTTTTAGTCATAGTCTTTTGACTAAAATGCCATTTAGTTTTAGTCATATTTTAGTCATCTGAATTGTTTTTAGTTTTAATCTAATTTTAGTCAACTAAATATCATAAGATTTTAGTCGACTAAATCTACAGTAAATGTAGTCGGCTAAAATCGAATGGGTTTAATTACATTGAATTTATTAAGCATTTCTCTAAAATGTCCAAACTCATAGGTTTGATCAGGGGCGTAGCCATCATTTCAGAATTGAGGGGGACAGAAATGTTTTATATAAGTATGTATATATAACATTACAATATAACATTTCTGTAATCTATATAACCTACCAGTCAACAGTTTTTGAACAGTAAGATTTGTAATGTTTTATAAAGAAGTCTCTTCTGCTCACCAAGCCTGCATTTATTTGATTCAAAGTACAGCAAAAGCAGTAATGTTGTGAAATATTTTTACTATTTAAAACAACTGCTTTCTATTTGAATATATTTTAAAATGATTGCTGTGATCAAAGCTGAATTTTCAGCATCATTACTCGTCTTCAGTGTCACATCCTTTAGAAATCATTCTAATATGCTGATTTGCTGCTCAAGAAACCTTTTATAATTATTATTATTATTATTATCAATATTTAAAACAGTTGAGTAAATTTTGTCAGGATTCTTTGATGAATAGAAGGATCCAAAGCTCGGTATTTATGTGAAATAAAAAGCTTTTGTAACATTATACACGATACCATTCAAAAGCTTAGAGTCAGTATCATTTTTATTTTTTTGGAAAAGAACTGATTTTTATTTTTGAATTTGAAAGAATTAACTAAATTCATTTAAAAGTATTTATTTCTTTCAAAAAATAATAATCTTACTGACCCCACAGTTTTGAACAGTAGCAAATGTGGTGTTTTGGATGCTGGACCCCAGCATGCCGGTGTGCTCACAAGGCTTCTTCACTAGCTTAACCAGTAAGATTTCCATGGTCAATCAGCTTCACCAGAATGACCATGCTGGCTGACAACCTTTACCGGCACAAAATCAGCACTAACTGGCATTAACCAGCCTGGACCAGCAATAGAAATTCATGCTGCTCTTTTCACCAGAGCATTCATCTAAGGTTAAATAATATAATAATAGAAAATAAACAAATGCACACTCCTGACACAACTTTTACATTTACCGAATAGAAAGGATGTGTGATGATGACGCTTAAGCTAAATATTTTGACAATTTCAACCGATTTCATCCAAAAATTAATAATTAAATCTTAAACATTCACAAAGACAGAAATACAGAAAAAAGCTAAATTACTGTCTGTATTCCAGTGTTAATTTTGACAGCAAATTTTGATTTTGTTTTAGTCATAGTCTTTTGACTAAAATGCCATTTAGTTTTAGTCATATTTTAGTCATCTGAATTGTTTTTAGTTTTAATCTAATTTTAGTCAACTAAATATCATAAGATTTTAGTCGACTAAATCTACAGTAAATGTAGTCGGCTAAAATCGAATGGGTTTAATTACATTGAATTTATTAAGCATTTCTCTAAAATGTCCAAACTCATAGGTTTGATCAGGGGCGTAGCCATCATTTCAGAATTGAGGGGGACAGAAATGTTTTATATAAGTATGTATATATAACATTACAATATAACATTTCTGTAATCTATATAACCTACCAGTCAACAGTTTTTGAACAGTAAGATTTGAAATGTTTTATAAAGAAGTCTCTTCTGCTCACCAAGCCTGCATTTATTTGATTCAAAGTACAGCAAAAGCAGTAATGTTGTGAAATATTTTTACTATTTAAAACAACTGCTTTCTATTTGAATATATTTTAAAATGATTGCTGTGATCAAAGCTGAATTTTCAGCATCATTACTCGTCTTCAGTGTCACATCCTTTAGAAATCATTCTAATATGCTGATTTGCTGCTCAAGAAACCTTTTATAATTATTATTATTATTATTATCAATATTTAAAACAGTTGAGTAAATTTTGTCAGGATGAATAGAAGAATAGAAGGATCCAAAGCTCGGTATTTATGTGAAATAAAAAGCTTTTGTAACATTATACACGATACCATTTAGAGTCAGTTTTTAAAATTTATATTATAGAAATTATTACTTTCATTTAGCAAGGATGTTTTAAATTGATCAAAAGTGATAAAGACATTTATAATGTTA